AAATTCTCCTTGAGAAGCATCGTCATCACGTCGCGTGGGTCGCCGTGCCCCCACCACGCCTTTGCATTTGGGAAGGTCACGTTGTGCAGGTTTGGCTGGCCATATGCGGCGAGGTGACACGGGTGGTTCTTGAGGAACTCACCCCACCCGGCCCAGTCATACCATTTATCTGCCTGCTTGTCCGCGTTCCACGCGCAAGGGTCCCCCGGCTCCCAGCGGTGGCGCATGAAGCCGCTCGCGACTTCGGACGGCGCGGCAGTGCCGTTGACGAGGTAGACGAGCGCCTGCCCGGGGCATTCCCGAGTTGTGAGAGCGAGCCCAGCCAGAATCGTTTGGATCGTGTGCGCGTGTGATCCTCCGTGCTGAAAGCAAGCTTGAGCTGCTGCGCTTCATATCGGGTGCGTGCTAGCTGCTAGACGCGCACAGAGAAGAAGAGGCGCGCTTGGAGGTCGCCCACGACCATCACGTGCTGCCCTCGGAGAGCGGCCCTCGCCTGTGCCGTGCCAAACACTCGCCATGCGCAGGTTTTGTCAGTTTTGCTCACCCATGCTTGCCAGCTGGTGCCGGCTGGCTCCCAATGCCCAGCAGTGCTATGCCGGTCAAGGCAGTGCTGCCTCGAGCCGAGCTCGATTGGCCGCCGCTGGCCGCCTCGGCGGTGGCCGACACGCGCGATCGTGCCTCACCCGTTTGGCCGGTCCGTCCGGCGCACTCGCTTCTCTCGAGGTTCCCGAGGTGGATATCCTTTGGCCGCGTTGGGGGGGAGCGAGGATGGCACGCTTCAAGTTTGGCAAATTCTTTCTTTCAAATGCGCGCCAGTCCCGTCGTCCCGTGCCTAGTGTTGTGAGAGAGCGTTAGAGGGACCGAGACGCCGTCGGTCAACCCGTCATGGCAGGTGGCTTGCTTTGGCTCGCTGCCACCGCGGTGGGTCACCAAGGACTTTTCAACGTGCTGCGTCATCACCGCGCGGCGCGCAAGCCACGCCTCACCCGGGCAAAAAGAACGACCGCGCGCCGCCGCCGCCCGCCTCGCCGCGCCGCGCCGCCCCGCGCCTCGCCTCGCCTCGCCTTGCAGCAGCGCACGCGCACACGCACCCACGCGCCCGCGCTCGCTCCGCGAGAGCGAAGCAACCCTCCAAGCGAGTTCCGAACCGGGAGCCAAAAGGTCCCGGCTCGAACCGCGAACCGGTTCGACCACCGCCGCTGGCGGTTCTTGCAAAGGCATCAAAGGCAGTGCTTGATATAACGTAAAATAGTGCGAGCGCGCGAGATATTCACCCGACCCACCGTGCCCTCGCGAAAGAGATCTCGCGCCGCGCGCGCTCGCACACGCCGCCCGAGAGCACTCCCACCCCCGCCGCCTCGCAAGCTCACAGGTTGATTTGAGGAGAAGCAGCTGGGGGAGGTCAAAGCGGGAGAAGGCGGCACGGCGGCGGCGGCGCGGCCCCCCCCCACCCCCACGCCTCCGGGTCGTGCGTACCGCCTCCGGGCGCGAGTGTCCCCCCAGCGTCTGCTCCGGCAGTCGCTCCGGTAGTCAGGCCGAGAGTACCAGGGAGGAGGGGAGAAGAGCCCAGGGTGGGGAGAGGAGAAGAGCCCAGGGAGGGGGGAGGAGAAGAGCCCAAGACGGCCTCCCTCTCCCTCCCCTCCCACCGGGCCTCCCTCTCCCTCTCCTCCCACCGGGCCTCCCTCTCCCCCTCCTCCCGCCAAGCACCGACAGTCTCGAGGGGCCAGCCGCTGGAAGGGGCAAGCCAGCGGCACGAGGGCTTCAGCCACACAGCTACCAAGGGAACGCGACCCACACAAAGCACCAAAGTTAGGCATACCCCCCGGCGCAGTGTCCCCCGCTATGTGTCGCCGTTTGTCGGGGCACGCTATCCTGTGCAGTCAGGGCAAGTGGGGGCGGGGTGGACAGCCCAGCGCAGATGCACTGGGATCTCTCTGCCCAGTCCGGGGGTGCGTCGAACCTTCCATCACCCTGTCGGAAGCGGCGTGCCGGTGGAGGCACGTCCGGGTTTTGGAAGTAAAGATATATTACTTTTTTTTTTGTGAGAGAGCGTTGGGTGGGAAAATTCTTTCTCGTGCCAGTCTTCTGCTGTGAGTGAGAGGAGCTTGTCCACGGTTTTGGTCTGGCTCGGCAAATGGACCGAGCGCCGGCTACCGAAAGAAAGAAAACCGGTCCTAACGAGGGATGGGGGAGGAGGACAGGGTCCCCACCTGCACGAGCAGGATTTTGGAAGCGCCGGCTACATAGGTCTGTGTACTCCTCCCCCTTATTTTTCTTTGAGCTTAGCCTTCGATGTTATGAAACAACGCAAGGCGGACATGGCATATCGCTCTCGGGCCCACAGACATCCCGCACACTCGCCGCACACCCGCCGCCCCCGCGCGCGCCCCACCCCGGCCGGGAGAGAGGGGAGTGACAGTTTGGGACGGCAACAGCCCGAGTATGTTGAGTCCTGGCTCAACAACGCAGATAACAAGAGGGGGTGGTCCGGCTCCCAAGTCCGGCTCACGCGCCTCGAGCTGACCGATCTACCGCACTGGTCACTTCCGCCCCCTCGCTCCCAACCCATCCACCCCGCCCCGGGCCGCGCCGCGCGATCTCGGGCGATCTCGCGCTATCTCGGGCGATCTCGGGGCCGCGCCGCGCTATCTCGGGCGATCTCGCGCTATCTCAGGCGATCTCGGGGCCGCGCCGCGCTATCTCGGGCGATCTCGGAGCGTCGCTCGCGCGGCGTCACACCTGCTCAAAAAGGAAGGAGGTTGGAGGCAGGAGGTCACGCCCCATCCAGAGCGCCGTCGTCGCCGGGTTTTTGGCCCCCGGGTCGTCGCCCGACGGTTGCTGCGCGGGGCAGCAGACCGTCGGACGGCGCGACGACGCCTCGTCCGGCACGCTCCCCCCTCCACCCGGCTATTGCCGCACGAGCGCCCTCAGCGGCGGAATTTTTCCCTCGCGCTTCCTTGGGCCCCCGGCAACGCCGACGGACTTCCCGTCCCCCCACCTGCGCCGCAATCACCGCCGTGATTGTCGGCGCTGCGCCCCTTGGCGCCTGTGCATGTCCCGCGTGCCCGCCCGCCAAGGCTGGTGCCAAGGCTAACTCAACTGCCAAGGCTGGTGCCAGGGCCAAATCAACTGCCTGGCTGGTGCCAAGGCTCAAAGGCTCTCCTCTCTCTCTCTCCTCCCTCTCTCCCTCCCTCCCTCCCTCCCTCTCACCCCCCCCTCTCTTCTCTCCTCTCCCCCTCCTCCTCTCTCCCCTCTCCTCCTCTCTCCTCTCCTCTCCTCTCCTCTCCTCTCCTCTTCTCATCCTCTCCCCTCTCCTCCTCTCCTCTCTCCCCCCCTCTCCCCCAGCAGCTTCCTCGAGGCCGAACAGGTAGATCCTCCCTGATCGCTAAGCTACCACAGGGGACGGCCAGGTAGTAGACGTCGTCCGCCGCCGCCTCCGCCGCCCGCGTGCCTCCGCGCGCTCATTTTTCTTTCGCTCTTTCGCGGACTTCCGAGTCAGTGGAAGATCCGGTAGTGTGGCGCGATGCTCTGCTATCCACAACTCCTGTCAGCCGCAGCCCTTACCCTCCCACCGGCGCCAAAGGTGTTCAAGGCGCTCGATCTGGCAGTCTATGCGGCCGACCGGCAGCGGGACGAGCTCCTCTCTGGTGTCAAGCGCTCCCTGCTCGGCAGCGACCCTCTTGACGCACTTGCCAAGACCGAGTACGCTTTGCCGCCAAAGATCTCGACTGTGGCAGTCACTGGCGCGAACGCCGGGATTGGCCGCGAGGCGGCGCTCTTCTTGGCGCAGGCGGGATTTGGCGTCGTCTTGTGCTCTCGCGACCAGGAGAAGGGAGAGAGCGCCGCAGCAGAGATTCGCACCGTCTCGCCGGAAGCACGTGTTAGTGTTGTGCCGCTCGATCTGGCATCGGTGAGGTCAGTCGAGGCGGCCGCGCCGCTGATTATCTCGGCCGCAAAGGAACTCGGCTCACCGCTGCGCGGACTTATCCTCAACGCGGGCATCTGGCCCGGCTCGCTGCAGACGACCGCCGACGGGATGGAGCTCGCGCTACAGGTGTGCCACATCGGGCACCAGCAGCTCACGCAGCGGCTGCTTCCCGACCTCGCCTCCTCCTCCGGAGGCGCCGAGTCGCGGGTCGTGACGGTCTCATCTTCGGCACATGCGTTCGCAGACGAGGTTGGCACGGACGACCCGCTCTACGCCTCCACGGCCTTTGATACGAACAGGAACTATGGGCGGGCTAAGTTCGCAAACATGCTCTTTGCGCAGGAGCTCGCAAAGCGCGCCCCGCCCGGCGTCCTCTCGACGGCGGCCCACCCCGGCCTGGTGCTCACGACTCTCTTCAAGGAGCTCGGGCCGAGCTACGCCGCCGCCTCTGCCGACTCGCCCACAGGCCGCGCAGCCGTCGACGATCGTCTGGCCGGCATCCCCGCGCTGCGAGCCTTGCAGTCCAGCACGCCCCTCAAGGCGGTGCTCAAGTCGCCGCAGGAGGGGTGCCGCCCGCTCCTCTACGCCCTCCTCGCGCCGGGCCTGCCCGCCGGCGGCTACGTGGCGGACTGCGAGGTGCGCGACATCTCGCCGGCGAGCAAGAGCGCCGCTGCGCGCGAGGAGCTGTGGCAGTGGACCGAGTCGTGGCTCGAGGGGGCGCTCCGCGAGGAGGCTGTTGAGGCGGAGCCGCTGGAGGAGTGCGGCGGCGACGAGGAGTGTGGGCTTCCGTCCGATTGATATAGTAAAAGAGACGCGGCTGAGCCTGGGTCGCGGTGATAGTAGAGTTTCGCAACTAACTACTCGACAGAATCAGAAAGCGCTCTGCCAAGATCTCTCGATATTGACATCAAACACAGAATTCCTAATAAAAGGCTCCGCATGGGTACAATGGAGGAAATTTAAGTTTCCACAGTACCACATAGCGTAGTATCTGCTCAGCAAGCACTAGGCACCACGCTGTCGTCAAACCCAGGAGGGAGGCCGAGAGCGTAGAGAGGCCCCTCCGAGCAAGGCTCCTCTGCGGGCCCGGAACTCGGTCCGCAGCTACGCCCTTCGATAGAGCCCTCCCCCTCCCTCTCCACGGACAGAGCGACAGCACAGGGCACCTCGGGAGCGCCCTCGCTCCATGCATCTCCGTATCTCGCGCGCAGCCTTGCTCGCTCTTTCTCTCGCAGCCGCTCGTGCCTCTCTTCGAGCTGTAGCCGAATCAGCTCGTCCTCGCGCTCGCGCTTTCGCTTCCGCGCATCCGCCGCAGCCTGCTTCCGCTTCTGGTCCTGCTCCTGCTTCCGCTTCTCCTCGGCGATCTCTGCTTTTCGTCTCTGCAGCTCCCGCTGCGACTGGCGCGCCAGCTCCGCTCTCCGCGCAGCAATGTAGTTGGCAACCGCAGCCACTCCAGCATCTGCGCTCGCTGGAGGCAGCTCATGCTGCACGTCGTCGCACCGGCAGCACTCGAGCGAGCAGCGGCGCAGAGGAGGGCGC